TGTTATGGTAACGATGGTCTGAGAAACCTAGTGTTATGGTAACGGTGGTGTGAGAAACATTGTGTTATGGTACCGTTGTGTATCGAGAACAAGTCAAGAGGAATTGGAAATAATAGCATGAGAAACTTAGTGTTATGAGAAGCTTGTGCTGTTAGCTAACCGCAAGTAGGTGGACCGTGCGAATATGACCTTTAGAGCTTAAGCCAATCAGCTAGTGACTAGTAGGCATAATAATTATTGTTGTCTGTATAAATATATACAATTATATTTATATAATAAATATAATTGTATAAATAAACACACACATTAGTTGATGCTCTATCACCCACATTGAACCCGTCTCAGCGTGTCGTTCTTCCGCGGCTCCGCACCAGCCCACTCTCTTTCTTTGTGCTCTGCCTGCAGAGCGCCCGCACTTCTTCAGGACAAAGCACTTTGGCTGGTTTGACCCCAGATTGGATTAAAAACAGCATTCAGGCCCAAAAAGGCATTCACCCCTCCCTGTGAGGCATCACTGCCTGCGTCTAGAGTTGCACTGCCTTTCTGGCAATACACTACTCTGAGAGAGGGAAAAGAAAGGGTGAGAGTTGCTGTGTTATTACCAGGTAACCCAAGAGGCACAGAAGGCAGAGTGTTCAGGATACATAAATAATAAAACAAAAGATGTGCTGCAGAGAAAGGGCATGTATAGTGCCTGCTGAGAGGCTCAGCAGCGAGCTGGAAGGATGCGCTGGGTTCATCCCACATGACCCCGGCTCACTGCAGAAACTGGGAGCAGAAAAAACAAGCTGGAATATCATGGGAACCCTGGGCCATTTGCAGGCGATCGGGAATAAACTGTGTGAGGTAAAATTGCCATGGAAACACCATATGGGCTGCTTTCAGCCCTGAGGCTCTTCGGTGCAGGGCTGCAGGATCGACAGAGCTAATCTGGTTTGCTGTGGGTGAGGATTTGGTCTGCGGTACCAGATTGCCGAGGATGCTAACATGACTGGACAGATGTTTTTCAGTTCTGCCGTGCAGTGACATCACTATGTGATTAGCTCTTATTCTGTGGGGGAAGAAAAAAAAACAAACCAAACCATTAAATACTTTGCTATGAACAAAATATGTGCATCATTGTTCAGGGGTATGATACTGGGACGTTGCAAACCCAACCCTGCCAGGAGGATGGGTGCATTTAACCGTGTGAAGGAGAATAGATACGCTCTTTATGTCCGCATTGCATAACAGCAAATCACAAACAGGAGTGTTTCTAATGAGTCTCCGTTAACTTACATGTTTTACAAATAAAAGGAAAAAAAAAGAAGCCACAGACAGAAACCTAAACCACTGGTGCACTGGTAGTTTAAATCATTTAAAAGAAAACTCTCATTTTGGGGGGCACAGTTATCTGCCCTTTCATAGCTGCAATTATGCTACATGTGGCAACTCTGGGTTTCATAACAGCGGCACGGAGAGCTTTCCCTGAAAAGGAGCACCCGGTCCTACACAAGCATATGTGGAAGCACATGCTTGTTTTGGCTAGTAAAGCAGTTGTTCCCCCTAGCTGAGCCCTGCCACGGTCCCCACTGGCTCTGGCAGCTCCCAGGACACGAGCCGGCGGCTGCCAGCAGCCTGTCAGCCCTTCTCCTCCCAGCCTGGCTCATATTCATCGCTGGCAATGCCTTTCCCATGGTTTTTAGCCCCTAGAATGTTTGCTGCTGCTCAGTTTGGGCTGAGCATACTGTGCCTCGATTAGGCAAAATGATACATGAGGATGAAAACTTAGAAATGTTGGCTTTCCTTTATTTGCAGATTAATTTCCTATTTTCTGGATTTCCTCCATGGCCTTAAGGACCGGAAATTTTGTCATTAGTAATAGGTGAAAATAGAGATTTCTGCTGGCAGCATGTATGGCCAGTGAGTGTGGGGAGCCTCTGTAGTCACCCCAGAGTGCCCAGGAGAGCTGTGATGTGCCAGGCCCCAGCGCAGTCCAGAGTCATGCCGGCTTCTTCGCTACCGCTTTCCGTGACAGCATGAAAGCAGATGGGACTCAGTTTAACTTTCCTGTAGCAATATAATCAGCTTTAAAAATTCTTCTGGTGGCTGATTGGCCCTCAAATACATCAGACTTAGTTGTCATCTCCTGTGAGGTCAGTGTTTTCTCCAGGCAAACATGGCAAATCTCCACAAGCACGACCTAAGCCATATCACCTATAATCTTTTTATATGATTGTCTCGCTCGGGAGTTGCTTGGACTGCCTGGCATCTGCTGTATGCACTGTGGGGCCTTAGAGCTAGCTAGCCAAAGTCCTCTCACAGGGAAATATTTGGAAGCTAGATTGTCACTCTCTGATTTAGGATGCATTGGTGAGATCCTGAGAAGTTTCAGACCCTCCATGCTGTAGTTATTCCTGGTAAAGAAATAATAGGCGGAGACTTTTATCCTGTCTGAGGCTGTTTTATCAGTTCTTCAGGGAAATAATCATGGAGGAGCATTGACATCTGAGAGAATAATTCTCCTCTCTAGATATCTGAAGGGAAAATTCTGCTTTTAATCACGGCTACATAGCTGAGCGCTGGTAATGCAGGGTGTGGGCACGGCTGCCACTGTCCTGAGTGAAACCACTTAATCAGATTCAAAGTTTCATGTTCAGAAAGAGCCTGCCTGCTCTGACGGCAAAAAATCACCATTCTGAATAATTCAAAGCTTTCATTAAGCACATAGGAAAAAAAAAAAAAAAAGAGGCAAGAATTGAAACATTTGAAGTATGATATTTCATTTTAACATCTCTTACTGCCTTTCCAAATAGCTACAGAGTTTTTGTAAGAACTGCTCTTTTGAGAGGTATTTTAACATGGCCATTGTCCTTTTTTGGAGGAGGGGAACAAAGGTTTTATGGGCTGGAGCTCCTGTTATGTTGGGCTCTGGCTTCTTTTCCTTGAAGACAAAACACAAAGGAGGAGAAAAGAGCAGAAAAGGTATAAAAAGCAGGTGCTGTGCCTCATGCTGACTCTCAGGTGCAAATTCACTGCAGGAGCCACCCTTGTCAGCTATTCTGGGATCTGGAGAAATGAACCAGCATCTGGCTGTCTCGGAGATGGTTTTAATCACACTGCTGGACTCAGGATGGCTTCAGCACTGCTACAGATGCCACCTCTTTCTGTGGCGATGTAGGAGCAAGAGAAAAAATAAAAATGGGAGAGGAAACAACACTGGGGGGGGGGGGGGGGTGTTGGGTGGCATCGGGTACAGAAGCATGTGGGGTGAAGCCAGATCTGGTGGGAGGTGTGGAGCTGTGTTGTCCTGCTCTCGGGTTGGGCTGGCAGGGTCACCTCGGGCTGTGGTTCTGCAAAACCCATGACATGGCAGCTCTGGTCATAGGGCCCTTTCCTAGTGCCCCATGGGCTCACTCCTTTGCTGAGCATCAGTACCAAAGGCTGGATCCCCCAAATCCTTCCGGACATGGAGTATCCCACTCACTGTTTGAGTCATCTATTATGCCTGATTTCCTCACTCTGTCAGTGTCTTTTTCTCCTTCTATACCTGAAACAACCTTAGGAAAGTCCTTCAGTGATAACAGAAGGTTTATGTTCACTTATTTCCTTCTTCTTACCTTTATCTTCTGTTGACTCCTATCAGTAATTTACTGTAATAGACCAATTTAAAGGTTCATCTCCCCACACCCAAGTCAGACCTCTGGACCAGATTTGTTTGTGTCTGTAGCCAAGAAAAAGGTCCCTTCAGGACATGGCCTTGAGAGCTTTGAAGGGGAGACATATTAAATTGAGATTTCTAAGCCTTCTTATGATGGATCATTCCCTTCTATGTTTACAGTTTTCAACAACATCCTTTGCTATGCTGCATGGGCTCCCCAAACTCCCTCCCCGTATCTTTATCATTCTTCCATTTCACCTTCCTCTCCCTCCAGTCTCTCCTTCCACCTCCCTAGGAGCCTGTGCTGCCCACAACCCCGATGTTCCGTACCTCCCTTCACATCCAGCATCCCCTGGGCAGCAGTTCCACTGCCCATCTTCCTGAAGCCTCGCATCCCTCTGCAGTGCCTGCTGTCACTATGGCAACCTCTGCGTGGATGTACAGCGGGATGAGGATGCTCTGTGGGATGTGATCACCGCTGCGGCCTTCTGCTTGGGGACAGGCACTTCAATTTGAACTGACGCAGCCTGGGGAGATGTGGGTTACAATTTTCCTCCTAATGGCAATTGAATTGCTGCTGAAGCCGGTCTGGAAATGCTGCTGAACAAGCAGCTCGTCCCCTGGGGTAGCGCTGCTTCCATTATCCTTTCAGAGGGAACAGATGACCCGCTTGGCAGCGTTTAAGTCTGCCTGAGAGGCTGAAGGAGGGGCACAGTCAGGGATGTTTTTAGCTTTTCCTCATACAGATCACCAAGCAGGTCGAGAGTGTCTGTTTAGTGGGGCAGCAAGAGATATACTGCAGGTTTTTTGGGTTTTTGTTTTTGGTTTTGTTTTTTTTTTTTTTCATCAAGCAAAAGGAGGGTGCCTCCACCCTGAGCCTGCTCAGGCCTCCTGAGGGTTAAGCACTGTGATCGCCGACGGCTGCTCGCCCGGGGGGCCGGTACCGCCACCACGGGGAGTCCGGGGTGGGAGCAAGACAGAGCCGGGAGCCCTGAGGGAGAGACACGGCTACCAGAGAGGGTATGCAGCAGAAGAAGCCCCCGGCTGAGGGAAGGAAAGCCGCTACCTCCTCAGCCCCGACAGTTCCCCCTCACCCTGAGGCGAACAGGGCGCGCCGCGAGGGCTGCCGGGAGTTGTAGTTTTCCCCCCCACGGCCCCCCCTGCTCTCCTCGGCGGCCGGACTACATTTCCCGTCATGCATTGCCGCGCGCCCAGCTGTCGGGGGGCGGGGACACCCCGCCACGTTCCCCACCCCCCTTTCCCCCCCGCCCCTCCGGTGGGGTGGGCGAGGCGGGGATTGGCGGGCCCGGGGCGCGGGGGGCGGGCGTTGTTGTTGAGCGGCGGCGGCGGTTGGGCGGGGCTTGGGGGCGGGCGCGCGCCCCGGCCGTTGCCGGCGGAGGCGGCGGTCGCCGTTCGTCGCCGTCGGGAGCGTTGAGCTGAGGTAAATAGCGGCCCGCCGGTCTCCTCCCCCTGCGTCGGGGTACCGGCCCGCCTCCTCTCGCTCTTCCCCTCCCTCAGGCGATGCACGGGGCCGCGGCGGGCGTCGCAAAGTGAAGCAAGCGGAGCCGTCTTTGTCGTCGTCCCCCTCCTCTTCCTCCTTCTTCCACCCGCGACCCCCGCAGACGGCGACATGGGCGAGTGCGGAACCCCCGGGGACGTCAACTCCAACGTGCTCGTCGCCCACAGCACCGGCGACGCGCAGCTCGACAAGGCGGTGTGGCAGTGGCTGAGCTGGGACAAGGTGGGTGTGTGGCGGGGGACGGCGGCGGGGCCTCCCCCCTCCCCACCCCGTGGGGGCTTTTCCCCCTCCCCGAGTTGTTTGTTACCGTTCCCCACACCTTTACTGTCTCTATCCCATCCTGCCCGGTGCTGAGGGTGGCATTTGATCCCTTCTCCCTCCGTGCAGCCATCTGCATTCCCTCAGCTTTCACCTGGGATTGTTGGGGCAGGTGTCCTTTGAAAAATAGCTGTCTGGATCCAGCTAAATCCATAAATGCTGCTGTGGCTGAGAAACTTGTCACCTGTGAGAAGGGAAAGGTGAGGCATGCGGCTCTCCGGGGGCTGTACCTGATGAAGGGATGGTATGATGTCATCTTACTGGCACATGGAGTATGGCACCTGCTTCATGTTGCTCCTGCTTCTTCGTTAAGACAGAAACACGCACCTTGTGAAATCAAATTGAAGGAAGGATTGTTTAAATGGCTTAAATTGCAGATAGAGTCGAACGGCATTGTTTTGTTCTCCTTAGCTTCATGAATTTAGAAGCAGGCTCCAGAGGTCTGAGTTCTGGCACGCATCTTTCCTTTTCAGCTCTAACGTGGTGTCAAGAGGACTGCAGGCTTGTTTTCCTCTGATCAATCCATCCAGAGAAAATTTGAGGCCATAACAATAATATGGTATTGGAGGTTATTTTGCTTAACATGTTGTTGAAAGGGAGGCTTTCTTTTTTTTTCAGCTGCTTTGTCCAAACATCATAGCCTGTGCTTTAAAAAATATCTTGCAGATGGGGAAGGGTAAACTACCAGTGCACCAGTGGTTTAGGTTTCTGTCTGTGGCTTCTTTTTTCTTTCTTTTTATTTTTTGTTTTTTTGTGAGTGATAGTCAATGCGTTTGTACTGTTTCCTCTTTTAGTTTCATCCTGTCAGGATCAAAGCAGGAGGGCTACAAATAAACTCTACGTGATGCCCCTTAGATAAGCTTTCTGCTACTTGGAAATATGCTCTCTTTCATTTTTTGCAGGAATTAACACTTGCCATCTGCACATTCTGCGCTCAGAGCTGCTGTTGTGAAAATATCTGGGAATAGTGGCATGGGGGAGGGAAGGAGTGGAAAAGGGAAATAGCATTCCTGATAATACACTTGATATAACCCATATTGAATTCTAATAAATATAATTTCTGGTTAGTGTACTGAAAGGTGGGGTGGGAGTTTTTTGGTTTTGTTTTGGTTTGTTTGGTTTTTTTTTTGTTTGTTTGTTTGATTATTTTTTTTTTTTTGACAGATTAATACATGTTAATCCTAGAAAGTATGAAGTAGGAGAGATTATGCTTTTTAATGTTAAGGTTCTTGGGGGAAAATATTTTGATTAAAACCAGAAATAGTGAAATATTCCTGTTTCCATAGCTGCTTCTAAGGTCAAAATTAACCAATAAAATACAAACTGAAGAGTCAGTTTGATTGTACCTGTTTGCCTTGCTTCCCTAGGTGATTATCGTGACCTTTCCTACAAGGCTGCTTGAACTTACTGCTTGGAGAGATTTCAAAAAGAGTTCTTGTGCATTTTAGAAACTCAAAATCACCTGGAGAAGGCAGACTGGTTGCTCCTGCAGGAGTGGGGGCTGCATGGCAGGGGGCGTGGATGGTCAAACCAGAAAGTACAGCATGAGGAGGGATTATTTGTCTAATGCCCTCATATTTCACCTCAAACCTCAGAAATGAGGTCTCTGTCGGTTTGTTGCTTATCAAGCAGCTTCCTTGTCCATAGGGACTTTTGCTGCCCTTGATCAAGGGAAAAAAAAAAATCTATGTGCTACATTCACAGCTGTATTTAGCTGTGGGGAGCTTTTGTCCTCTAACTTAATTGAAAATTACTTGCTGTAATTAATTCTTAGAGCTGTGTGATGCCTCCTTTTTGATTTGGGTATACATGCTAACCTTTTCTAAAACTGTAACTGATTATGGGCTGGGATGTGGGTGGGTGGAGGAAGCCTGACCATATGATGATCTTTCTGCTTTCCTCTCAGCAGTTTTGAGCATCTTCATTAATGCTTCCAGCAACTGGCTTAAAGGAAGCTTGCTAACTAAATCTCCTCCTTTCCCCTTCTTTCTCCTGAATTGCCTGTGTGCTTACTTTTGCCTTTGAGACAGGCTTGAACGCACGAGGCCTTTTGTTTGGTCCTCATTGGTAAACTTTGTGAGCAGTTAGTTGTTTTTCTATATTTTATCCTTTTAATTATTCTTCACTCTAACTTTCCTATTGTGCTTCCGCATCTGCCTTGAGTCTCCTAAAGGAGTCTGGCTTGTGTCAAAAGCTGTGTCAGAGCAGTTGACTCCAAGAAAACTGTCTCTCTTTAGAGCAAATGTTAGAATTTTGGACCTTGGTTGTAGCAGTGATTTTATGTGCTTGTCTTAGGTGGCTTTATAGAGTGGCAAGAATGTGCTGTGCACGAAGTGGCATGAAAATGAGGTGTGGTCAGTACAGTAACTGAGCGTTTGTCCATGGCAGCAGAGGAGGCTTCAGGGTAAGTCTGAGGGTCAGATACTGGCTCAGCAGCTGGTGGGGAGAGAACAATATGATTAAGATCCTGATCTACTTAATGAAAAGCCTGGTCCCAAAGAAGGATTCATAACTTTGCCTAAAAATCAGAGTAAGCTAGGGGTGCCTTCTTGCTTTCCCTCGGTAAGTCTTCACTATGTAAAAATGAAGCCCAAGTTCAAGCTGTTGGCTGCTGGTTTATTAATCAGCCCTGTAGGATCTCTGACAAGACTCCTGTTCCCTGGGCATGCTCAGTGTGGTGTAGCTTTGCCCATTTTCAGTAAAGATAAGGAGAAATGTTTGTACACAAACTGTCCCTGGGAGGTGGTTGTTGTGGCGGAGTGTACCTGGGAGATGAGGATGTTTCATGGTTATCACAGAGAACATCGCATGGAGGAGAAAAGCTTGAATTATTTCTCCAGGAGCTATTTGTGCAGGCCCCTTTCACTGTACTCCCACTTTATTTTACTAATTCATGGTCTCATTGTCAGTGCGCAAATGTAGTGTGGATAGCTTCCTACTTGCAAGGTGGCTTGGTTGGTTTTTAGGGCTTTTTTTGGAGTGCCTCTCAGTGTTCTTTTAATTTTTGTGGCTTTTAAGATGCGTTTCAAGAAGAAATGGACTTAGTAGTTAGAGACCAATAACCTGCTCTTGTCATTCAACTTGCAATATTTTTTCTTATTGAGACATTTAAATGAATTTTTAAGAATAAAAATAGGAATATACAATCTAGGAATTGGCCCCAAGTGAAAAGAGAAATTCTTCCAAATGACATGTGTGTGTTGCAAGCTCTAACATTAAAATATGGAAGATAAAATTGTGAATTACTGAAATAGTTAATTCTGGTTCGACTGGGTCCCAAAAGGCATCTTGCTACAACCAACACTATTGTGAATGTGTAAACAACTTTATGAAAGGGGAGAATCTCTGAAATAACACAAGTGCTGTGCTTTAGTGCCTATTCTAGCACATTAAACTATATGAAGTCCATCAGGATAGTCTTGAAACTTATCCTTCATGGCATTACAGGCTGTATTGATAAATAAGCTATATTGCTGTTTGTGTTGTCATGGAGGCAGGAAAGGGTATTGCTGGTCTGTGTTTACACACTCTAACTTTCAGATATTGGAAATAAGATTCGAGCATTAAGACTTGCTTTGTCTAACTTGGAATTTCCCTCTGTTGAGTACCTCTGAGTTCATAAATGTAAGTATTCTGTATGATGTAGGATCTTTTGTGTGTTGTTTCTTTTTTTTTTTTTTTAACTGTTGGTCTACACATATTTGGGTGGTCTAATGATTTTTAAAACGTTCTGAGAAATGGATGGTTTTTATTCTGCATCAGATCATAATGAGAGAATTGCAGAAAGAAGGCAGTCCCACCCTTTCTTGTTGCTCTACTTCCCCCTCGCTACCTGCCTGAGTTGGCATCGTGTTCATGCAGTTGGTCAGGGAACACATGCAGGGTGGTGGGGGGAAGGGAGTGGATTTGTTATTGATCAGACTCGCTGCAGCTGCAGAATGTTTTTTCTAACACAAGAAAGGGGTCAGCACATTAGTGGGAACAGTCTGGGAAAGTGCAAACTGCCTCCTTCAGCAGCAGTAAGCTATAACGCATTACTACAACAAGTTTCAATACAGTTTATTTAAAAAGACCTGTGGAAATTACTGTAAAAAAGCAGTACGTAAGGGGTTTTGTTTCTTGTATTGGGCCAATATAAAAGAGGTGGCTTGTCTGTGGGACTGTGCAGTTGGCTGCTGTGGGAGCCTTGCAGCACCCAGCCCTGATGCCTTCCCACCCGGGTTCCTTTGTGCAGCTCTCGGATTTATTCGTAGGTACACTTTATATATGTGTATTTATATCTGTGTGTATATCCCATACGTGTATACATGCACATATTTAAAGATGCAGAAATACAGGGAAACAAGGAGAGCAAGAAACAGCCCCAAAAGGTTACCAAAAAAGACAGCACAAATGGGAAGAACCAGCCAATGAATCAAACCTTCTTTTGAGGAATTTTATGTATTTAGGGAGGCTGGTGGAGAGATTACTTTGTTTATGGTTGTGGGGATTATCTAGCTGCTGGTAGGGCTGTGGAAGGTGGTGAGGAGATTACTTGTGTCTGTGGCTGTGGGGAGCTTCCAGCTGCCTGTAAGTCTGTGATGGGGTGTGGAAGTGGTGGGTGGTAGGGTACAGAGATAGCTGGTGATGCAGTGCTGCCTTTGTCCATGACTGTGGTGAGCTTCCAGATGCCTATAAGACCATAATGGGGTGTGGAGATGGAGGATGATGCAGAAATTCTTTTGTCCTCAGCTGTGGCGAGCTTCCAGCTGCCTGTAGGCTCATGATGGGTTATGGAGAAGGTGAGTAGTGCAGTGATCCCTTTGTTCTCAGCTGTGGGAAGCTTCCAGTTGCATGCAGAACTGTAATGGGGTGTGGAGATAGGGGGTGGTATGGACATCCCTTTGTCCTTGGCTGAGAGGAGC